TTTTTTGGAAAATGTGTGGTTAAAATTGAAAAAAATTTTATCGGTTTATGTGTAGAATATTTTATTATTTGAATGTGTGGTAGAGATTGATTACTGTAGAAAACAATGTTTTGAAAAATGGTAGACAAACAGTGGCTAAATATTGTCAAAAATGCGGGGCCACCTATGTTGGGTGTGTTCTGGCAATTTTATGCCAAAATTCTACAAAAAAACTCACATCGAGGTGGCCCACATGAAATTAAATAGGGGAAAATTTAGGGTGTATTTGAACCACATTATTTTGAAAGAATATATTTTGAAATAGAGAAATGTTATTCATCCCCACTGGGGATGCATCCCCAATCTATGTGGCGTTAATGTGGCATTAAATGATATGTGAAATTAAATAAATCATTTAATTTCACCTATCATTTAACCAATCATGTACATCCACATAGACTGGGAATGCATCCCCACTGGGGATGAATAGCATTTTTCTTTGAAATAGTAGATTGATGAAAAATGTGTGGTTGAAAAAAAGGAAAAGTTATTGATGTGATATAAAATATTATTTTATTGAAAAATGTGTGATTGAAAATGAATAGAAGAATGAGAATGGAAATTTTAATGTGTACCAAACAGGGGCTGGGTTGTGTACCCTATTAAAAAAAAAAAGAAAAAAAGATTGAACCCCCACCCCACCCCAAGTAAAACCCCGAAACCTACTCCTCTCATTTCAACCTTTTCCTTAATTCCTTTTACTAGAACCACGGGCAATTCTTGGAGTCCGAGGAGAGGGAAGGACAATGGCGTGGAGGGGACAATTGTCGCGGAATCTAAAGGAACTTAGGCTCCTTTTTTGCCAAACTTCATCTGCTACTGCGCCGGCTAGGTCATTTGTGGAGAAGAATTACATGGATCTAAAGAAGCAAAATCCTAAGTTCCCAATATTAATCTATGAGTGCAGAGGAGTCGAGCCTCAGCTCTGGGCAAGATACGATATGGGTGTCGAAAGGGGCATTCGGTTGGAAGGCTTGACAGAAAGTATATGTAAGGGAGGCGTCGTTTGGTAATTTTGGGAAATGGAAATTTGAGGTGGGCTTATGATGTTGCTTGGTGGTGGTTTTGCGATGGTGACCGAGGATCAGTTGTATTTGGCTTTGAGATGGTGGAGATTGGAGTGGGGACTTACGATTGGGGAAGGTGGTCAACAATTTGGGCTGTAGCTGAGGTAGGTGAGGCAGAATACTGGAGGAAGATGGGTCGTCTAGCGATTGATTTGCAGTGATGGTGGAGGGCGCAACTGCAGCAACGGATTGTGATTGTGATTGTGGGTTGTGATTGTGGTTGTCGGTGGTTCAATTAGCAGGATCAGCGGTGGATTGCCAGTTTAGGAACAGCCGACAAGGTTTGGTTGTCCAATAGAAACAACGGCGGAAGATGGCTTGATCATGCTTTGATTATGTCACTTTATTGAATTCATTCTAATGTGTTTAATTGGTGTTTTGTCACTTTTTTGAATTTCTGTCACTTTTTTTAATCTTTTTCACTCTTTTCAATCATTTTCTTGATTTCTATCACTTTGTTAGTGATAAACATCAATTTTTAATAAAAGTGACATTGTATGTCATTTTTAATAAAAAAATGACACTTAACTTTAAAAGTGACGGTGAATCACATTTTCATTGTCACTTTTTTTTAACGTGATCAGCATGTGGATTGGCTTGAACGTGGTGATTATTTTGAGAACATGATTGCACAAATTGATGGTGCTATTTTGGTATGTCACTTTTTTTAGTTTTGTCACTTTTTTGAGTTTGTGTCACTTTTTTAAAAAAAAAAGTGACATTGTGTCACTTTTTCATTTTGCACAGTATTTTTTACTTCCTAAAAACCTTTTAAATGATTTTTCAAAACATCCCTAATTTTAAGGGTATTTTTGTAAGTACCCCATTAAATATTGTCAAAAATGTGGGACTCACCTATGTTGTGTGTATTCTGACAATTGTTTGTGTGCATAGTTCATGTACACGCACCAAAACTCATTTAAGAAACCTACGAATGAAGTGATTGAGATTCCCCTTGTAGGAAAATATTATTTGATTTGACCTAAAGTGGAATGAAATAAATCCAGATTATTTGATAAGATAAAATAGTAGGAGAATCATCAGGTTCTAAAAAGCATGAACTGTGTTTAGAGGTGGAGGCAAAGTTTTAACCTTTAGAAACTTAAACAAGTGATTTAGTCGTAAAAAAACGTATTTTTATTTTTAATATTATTGTAAATTTCTAATCATTTTAATAATTATTTAATAATTAAAATAATACACATCAAACATCTGAAATTATAAAATATTATATTTTTTTTCATAGTTTCAGTTGAAATCTATCAATTATACGATTTTCAAGTTTTCAAAATATAAAATTAGAATATTTTTCATAGTTTCAGTTTTCAACTAGATAAATCATACTTAATATATTTATAGGAACTTCATACACGCATTTGGAGTTTGCAACAAAAAAAAAGTCTTAAAATATTAATTACATAATGTAATAACACCAAAACTTAAATCTTATTTAACAATTTAAATAAAATTATTTTTAACTTTTGTATAAATAAAATCTCTTAAAAGCTTGAAATGAAAGTCAAATGAAATTTTTTTTAAAATAAAAATACTAATAAGTTAAAGTCAAATAAAAGACTTTTAGAAAAAATAAAATAAAAAAAACTAATAAAGCTCACCTAAGGAAAACGAAAAAAAGGAATGAAAAAACTTAACCGTTTTGGAATTGGAGAAGAAAAACGTCTAAAAATGAAACGAGACATTTTGCCCAATTTTCGAGTCTAAGAGGTGCCTCGCATCGCCGAAACGAGCTTTTTAGAACACTGGTGAGTATATGAATAATATTTTTTTACTAGTTTTAAATAGATTTTTTATAATCTAAAATAGTCTAGGGTTATTTAATTTTACAGTTTGATATTTTATGATTAAGAGCCCGTTTGAGTCTCATTTTCTACACAAAATGCATTTTGATATTCTTTTGATTGGGGATGTGTAGTTAAAAAATAAGGAAAAAATTTAAATTTGTATGTCATATTATTTTATTAAAAAATGTGTGGTTAAAAACAAGAGAAATAAAAATGTATTTTGAAAATAATTGAGACCAATGGTTATTAAGAGCATATCTAATTGATTAGAGATCATTTTAAAATTTATAAGAACATCTTCATAATACATGTTTATTTATAGAGAACATTTTGAACTTAGATAGTCATAATTTTTATGCAATCCAACAATATTTTCTATTTTGAGTATTCATTTTGCTTTTCTCAAGAAAAGTTTATTGATTTTTCTCATATTTTATTTAGCATGATTTTTTACATTTCAATTATCAATCAATTTAAATATGTTTTAAATAGTTTTTAAGAAGCATCATGTTGAAATTTGTGACTTATTAAATACAGTTATTATAAATTAAAAATAGATAATGAGATTGACTCACTAACTTTGGAAAACCTCTCTCGAAGCTTAATTTTAAGCATTTAATTCTTTAAAATAAAGAGTATTTTCTATTTAGAGAATATTTTGGAGATGCTCTAACATAATCTTCAAAAGACATTCTAAATACAAAATAAATTTCAAGAAACTCTCGAAATAGATATTGGGTTTGACTCTCTAAATTTAGAGAGTCAAAACACTATTTATTTTTAATGTATAATAATTACATTTAAAAAGTCGCGATTTCAATGCTCTGCTTTGTAAAAATTATTCAAACCACATTTAAACTGATTGATAATTTGCATATAAAAAATCATGTTAAAAAAATATGAGGAAAAATCAGTAAATATTTCTTGAGAAAAAAAAATATATATATATATATTAGATAATGAAATATAGTTTTAAAAAATCTCTCTTAAATCAAGGAATTGACCACACATTTAAAAAAAAAAATCACAATTCCAAAGCACATTTTTTTATAAAAATGGGACTCAAATATAGACTAAATATATTTTATTAATTAAATTTGTAATTCAATATGTTAAAATCGCGATAACATACAATTTATAGTTACAGTTATGTACTAATCATAATCACAAAACGTCACAATTAAAATCATACATTTTATAGGTCACGACTCATTTCTCGATCACAAATTACAAATTTTATAAGTCACAACTTATTTCACGATTACAAATTTATTAAATTAAATGGTCATAACTTATTTCTAAGTCGCAAATTATCAAATAATTGATGACAATCACCCAATTAAATGGTTACAAATTATCCTACATCTCTCCCATCTCACACTACCCGTTCCACCACCGCATGCACCACCCAAAACATGCAGTCGCCTGAGATCCGCAGCCCACCACCACCGCATTCCATCACAATTGCCTCCTATTGCACCATCACTACCACAACCACTGATAAATGAATTTTACACACTTATTTTGATCACGAAACATGGACAATTATTGATAAATATATTGAAATATAACTTTATTCTACGTGATTTGTGTTTTGTATAACAACATTGATGAATGTGACGAAAATGAGGAGAAATGAGAAAAAAGGGACTAAAACGAAAGAAAATCAAAGTTCAGGAACCAAGATGTAAATAATCGAAAGATAACCCGGAAGAGAATTGAAGATGTGAAGATGTCGAAGACAAATTGAGCAGATGAATGAAACATTCGAAGAAGAAGATGTGGGAAAAGAGGTCGAGAATTGCGAAATGGAGTTCGATGATCAAAATGCAAGATTTTGGAAGTTATTAATGCTATATGGTCGCATAGGTGGTTTCAGGAAATTCCAAAGCCAGATTTGAATGATCTATGCTGTCATGAGGAAATGAACTATGCGGTCGCATAGTTGGGACACTATTTAAATCCTAGAGCTATCCAAACGCACGAACGCACATTCAAATTGACTTTTGGAGTAGAGAACGAGCCAAAAATAAGAAGATCGAAGCCAAGGACACGAGAATAAATTCAAGAATTATATTGGGTGATCTCGATTTTTCAATATTCCTTTTGTTTTTTCTTCATAACATGCTAAGCTAGATTTATTTGTGTTAGGAGAACGATGAACTATGTAATATAAATTTTTAATCTTTAATTTTACATTTTTGACATCAAAAACACGTTTTTTAATATTGAATAATTTATATGATTTTCTTTTCTCCACATTTATTGTGCACGATAGTTGTGTGAATTTGGTAACTTATTTTATGTATTCGAAAGAAAGAAAATATGTTCCACATATAAAAATTGTCATAGGGTCCGATATGTGATAAAAATATACTGCTATGCCCTATATGAATTTTTAATTGTTTATAAAAACTTATACATTCTTGTATGTTCACATTCATCATAAAGATATAATCGAGTCACATGTGGAATATGTTTGATATTACTCGAGAGAGAGTGTTGAATAATTTAGGAACATTGATTCGTCAATATTTTAATGTGTTGTCAAAGTGTATAACTAAGTTTAAAACGAATTATTACATAGAATCGTGATCCTAGTACATTCATCATAAATTAAAACACTCCAAACATTCAACGTCGTTTGCATTTAATTTAGTTAAATCATTTATAATTGCATACTAGTATTATTTTAGTTATAATTTCAGCACAACAAACATGCCATTTTATTCTAGTCTCGGTTAAGGTCAAGGTAATAAGAATTGAACTAAACAATTTTCGTGGGACGATAATCAGACTAAAAAAGTTCACTTTATTACTTGTTAACGAATCGTACACTTGCGATAGTTTTATGCGAAATATATTTTCGTGAACAACCATCACCACCTTCAACGAACCACAACTACCTTTAACGCAATCTCACCACCGCAATAGATCGCACCAATTATCACCACCATCATCTACACCTCACCCTAGATCCGCCATACCCCATCATCACACCGCACACCACCAATACAGATCGCAACAACCATCATCACCACCGCCTGCACCTCACCCAAATCTATTACACGACCATCATCCCACTACACCAACACCACCATCACATATCGCACCAACCGTCACCACCATTTGCACTCCACCCCAGATCCACCACACTACACCACTAGCACCCCACCGCACTAGGACGAACACCAACACAGCACCGCACACCATTGCAGATCGCACCAACCACCATAGCATCACTTGGTTTCAATTATAGAAGTAGAGAGGGTGTAAATAGAGAAAAAGTGAATAGAGAGTGAAAGGGAGAAAAGAGGTGAATACAAACAGATTTGGACGATTGTGCAGTGATAGAGAGA